AGGGTTATTAAGGCCTATCAACCTCTGGAGGGCTATTAAGGCCTATCAACCTTTGGAGGGTTATTAAGGCCTATCAACCTCTGGAGGGTTATTAAGGCCTATCAACCTCTGGAGGGTTATTAAGGCCTATCAACCTCTGGAGGGTTATTAAGGCCTATCAACCTCTGGAGGGTTATTAAGGCCTATCAACCTCTGAAGGGTTATTAAGGCCTATCAACCTCTGGAGGGTTATTAAGGCCTATCAACCACTGGAGGGTTATTAAGGCCTATCAACCTCTGGAGGGTTATTAAGACCTATCAACCTCTGGATGGTTATTAAGACCTATCAACCTCTGGAGGGTTATTAAGGCCTATCAACCTCTGGAGGGTTATTAAGGCCTATCAACCTTTGGAGGGTTATTAAGACCTATCAACCTCTGAAGGGTTATTAAGGCCTATCAACCTCTGGAGGGTTATTAAGGCCTATCAACCACTGGAGGGTTATTAAGGCCTATCAACCTCTGGAGGGTTATTAAGACCTATCAACCTCTGGAGGGTTATTAAGGCCTATCAACCTCTGGAGGGTTATTAAGGCCTATCAACCTCTGGAGGGTTATTAAGGCCTATCAACCTCTGGAGGGTTATTAAGGCCTATCAACCTCTGGAGGGTTATTAAGGCCTATCAACCTCTGGAGGGTTATTAAGGCCTATCAACCTCTGAAGGGTTATTAAGGCCTATCAACCTCTGGAGGGTTATTAAGGCCTATCAACCACTGGAGGGTTATTAAGGCCTATCAACCTCTGGAGGGTTATTAAGGCCTATCAACCTCTGGAGGGTTATTAAGGCCTATCAACCTCTGGAGGGTTATTAAGACCTATCAACCTCTGGAGGGTTATTAAGGCCTATCAACCTCTGGAGGGTTATTAAGGCCTATCAACCTCTGGAGGGTTATTAAGGCCTATCAACTTCTGTTCAAATGTCTTATTTTTTACTGTCTGTTGTAGTAAATAAGAGGTTATACTATCTCTTTTTTACTCTATGTTGTTTTCTGTTACTTTGAGGCTTCTGTCCTGTGCCTCTTTTTTCTTAAGAGTCTCTCTCTCTCCGCCCCTCTTATCTGTCTCGTTAGATTCCCGCATATTCCAACTTTCATTCCACGTTTCGATATATATTTTTGTCCAAATTTTAGACATTTGCGTTTTGTTTCCCCCAATTCTTTCTCACGGGTGTCCAGCCTCCTCTGGCTCCCCAAACCTTGGCATTTTCACCAGCCGTGAGAGTAAGAACATTTCCAACATCAGATCATAGAAGGTTAGTTGTGATTCGCGTGGCATTTAGAGGAGAAAATGCGTGGGGGCATCTGTGTCTGATTCTAAAAATGGAGATATTGTAAAGGTAAAAAATATGGGATATTTTATAAAATATCATAATATAATGATAATATTATATAAAATTATATATTATATATTATAATATATAAAATTATATATTATATATTATAATATATAAAATTATATATTAAATATTATTAAATTATATTAAGTAAATAAAATTATATATTATATATATATTATAAAAAATAATATTATAAAATATAAAAAAAAATAAAAATAAAGAACATTTACGTATGATTCCTAGAATGATTCAACTATGAGGGGAAAGAGCCAAGCCATCACGCCTATATAACACTTGAAAGGGGTCAGGAAATAAGGATTTGGGATGGGACGGAGGGAAAGGAATGGTGCCCCAGCCACTTGTATGGACGGTCGGGGGATTGAACGCCGGCCTACATGACGCGAGACCGTCGCTCTACCGTCCACCCCCAAGTGGTTGAGCAAGTGGAGATATTTTAAAATGTAGAAATATGGGACATTTGCGTCTGATTCCTTAACTTCTGGCATTTGAAGTTGGCAATTCTTTGGGCATTTTTGTTTGTTTGAATTTTTACATTTAAAGATGGAAACACTTTATGTTTGTGTTAAGTGCTAAGTGCTAAGTGCTAAGTGTTAAGTGTTAAGTGCTAAGTGCTAAGTGTTAAGTGTTAAATGTTAAGTGCTAAGTGTTAAGTGTTAAGTGCTAAGTGCTAAGTGTTAAGTGTTAAGTGTTAAGTGTTAAGTGCTAAGTGTTAAGTGTTAAGTGCTAAGTGTTAAGTGTTAAGTGCAGTAAACATGTTAAGGACCCCCAAGGGGGGGGGGGGGTTCAGGACTCCTCCCCAGGGGGCGAATCTTGAGGTTATCTTGAGGTTATCTTGAGATGATTTCGAGGCTTTAGTGTCCCCGCGGCCCGGTCCTCGACCAGGCCTCCACCCCCAGGAAGCAGCCCGTGACAGCTGACTAACACCCAGGTACCTATTTACTGCTAGGTAACAGAGGCATCAGGGTGAAAGAAACTCTGGCCATTGTTTCTCGCCGGCGCCCGGGATCGAACCCGGGACCACAGGATCACGCGTCCAGTGTTCTGTCCTCAATCTCTGTTTACATTTATTAAAAAGTTGACGAGCATACAGCTGTATACATAATACAGCAACTCATGATGAGTTGCTGTATGATGAATTACACAACAACGAGGGGGAGTAATACAACTATAACCTTGGCTTCGTTATTGATATCAACTCGTAACCTCTAAGGTAAATAAAGCTGCATTGAGGAGAGATGCACCGGTTTCGTCAATGGCTGATGAGTTCTGGCCATGGACTATAATATGATACTAGGTTGTTAAGGCAACAGTTAAATACGGAAGATTAATACAGCACCATCTGAGACGCTAACGAACAAGCTAACGATCGAACTACCGGTCAAACTGCCGGTCAAACTAACGGTCAAACTAACGGTCAAACTAAGGACAGGAAGAAATCCCTGAAAACCCGGCCCGCTAAGTCACCTAAGTCTCCCACACTGCGGACTCTGATGTAGGCCTCTCGTGTAAGCCTCTAGTGTAGGCCTCTCGTGTCAGTCAACCCAATTCCCCTCAGATGTTAACGGCCTGACGTCATCACCCACGTCACTAACCGGATAACGTATGACGTCACCACCCACGCCAGTAACGCGCTTGCTCAGTAGCAAACAAGGGAGGTAGAAGGGAACACGATAACGTAGACAAGATAACCAGTGAAGGAATAATTAAAAAATAGAGTTAATACAATGGAGAAGAGGAAGCGTAGAGTAGATTGTAGCATATAAAGCAACGCCGGGGGGTAGGGGGGTACATTAACAGATGAAACGGATCACTAACAGAGGCAAGGGACCCACTAACAGAAGCAAGGGACCACTAACAAAAGCAATGGCCCACTAACAGAAGCAAGGGACCAACTAACAGAGGTAAGGGACCACTAACGGAAGCAAGGGACCACTAACAGAGGCAAGGGACCACTAACAGAAGCAAGGGACCACTAACAGAAGCAAGGGACCACTAACACATGCATATTCAATCTTTTGTCTAACAGGATAGCGTCGACCTGCTCTTCCGAGGTCGCCCGGTCTACTGCCAATACCTGCCCCAGGTACCAAGTGTACCTTAACCTTAAGGTACCAGATACCTTAACATTGTTACCAATAGCACAGAGATATTTGCTGGTTGGCTCTGTCCTTCACCATGTTTTCTGGTATTATCGTAATGGGTTGTATATATTTTATACTTTTTCCAATTTATTTGCCTGTGATTGAAATCCCCCAGTATTAGGCTTCGCTCCGATTGTCACTGTGGCTGTGTTTTATGTATAGCTTTATATAAGTCTCGTTGCATTGGTCGTAATTTTTTCATTTATCCTATTTAGTGAGGGGGATAATAAGTCACCGCTATCTACCTCTTTTCGCAACTTCCGCTGTTGTTATTCGTATTATGTACGCTTGCTGGTCTGGAAATTAATTGATAATTGAAACAATTATCAATTGTTTCCATTGATAATTGTACTTCAAAGCTTAAGTGTAGGTGTGGCTTTAGTGCTACAGTAACTCCTCTCTATTTCTTTATATCTTCATGAGGAGATTACATTTTCTATAACACTTGTCAGTTTAGTTTCTGTTATTGCTATAATGTGTGGTTGTTCCTCTGTCACTCCTAACTGTAAAACTATACCCAATTATTTTCATTCTATCTGCATCCGTGTATATAACTTGAATATGCGTGTGTGTGTGTGTGTGTGTCTGTTTGTGTGTGTGAGAGAGAGAGGAGAGAGAGAGAGAGAGAGAAGGAGAGAGAGAGAGAAGGAGAGAGAGAGAGAAGGAGAGAGAGAGAGAAGGAGAGAGAGAAGGAGAGAGAGAGAGAGAGAGAGAGAGAGAGAGAAGGAGAGAGAGAGAGAGAAGGAGAGAGAGAGAGAGAGAAGGAGAGAGAGAGAGAAGGAGAGAGAGAGAGAGAGAAGGAGAGAGAGAGAGAGAAAGAGAGAAATGATTTCACATTACCAGTTACAGGAACCCCCTCACTTCCAGGTACATACAACCTGCCAGGTGAACAGAGGCATCAGATGAAAAGGCAAAAAACGACTAAACACCTCATTTTCACACAAAAATCTCCCTGACATCAACTGAAGCCACCTACAACAACCACATCTCCTTAGGTCGTCACTTAGTGCTTTCTTAGACTCAATTCACTTTACCTGGTCGACATCAGGCGGACCTGATGCACTTACCAGCTACTTATATCAGGTCCACCTTAAATCACCGGACCAGGTCAACACAGGTGAACATAACAGTGATGAACAGACTAATAATGTTATTATCGTTTAGCGGGTTACCTCAGTTCAAGGAGTGACTATTAGGGTTAACCGCTCACCACATGCTTCTAATGCATATCAATCATTTGGAGTCGTTTAAATAACTACTCAATCGTGCAATTGGCACCCAATTGGCAGTGTGATGACACTGGTTCCAATCTGAAGTCCTTGGAAAGGCTTCACATCCAATTAAACTGATGACTTTAGTGACTGAGATACAATATTAAGGGCACTCCTTCACCTACACTTGGCAACACTGTTGTTTCCTTTAAGGACGTGACGCTGCTTGCAGACTCCAGTGTCTCTGTGGCT